GGACAATCTGCCAATTTAAGGTTTAAAAAGCCAAATGAAATATCGTAATTATTAATTAACACGTGACATATATTAAGAACCATAATTATTAAAATACAAGCAATTATCATTAAGAATTATTATAACAAGTTTGACTATTTAGAGGCACAGACAGATTGACATTTTAAACATTGATTAGATGTTATATTCACATATACACACACATACATTCATACATGACTGATGCTTTTACTTTTCTTATTATGGGATGTTGATATAATACACTTTACCTGTTTTATTAAAAATGTCAGTGTATTTACTCTGACTATAGTCAGATATTTTTGAAGGCCTTCTGATTGATTTATTACTATTTGTTTAGGAATACTGCAACCCATCAAATGCCCAGCTGATGTAGTCTCATTTTATTGGCATCAATACACAATAGCAATGATGGAGCCAATCCCAGACAATGTCTCTGTATTGAACAGAGGGTACAGTTCACCCTAAAATGAAAAGTGTCATCATTTACTCACCCTCATGCCTTTCCAAACCTGCACGACTTTCTATCTATGTGGAGCTCTATATGGAACACACACACACACACACACACACACACACACACACACACACACAAATCAGGAATGTTAAGGAATTGTTTTTGTACATATAATATACAACACTTGACCCTACTGAATTTCATTGTAAAGACCAAAAAATAACGAAATATTTTTCCCATATATATCTTTTGTGTGTGTGTACCACAAAAGTAAAATGTAATTCATAAAGGTTTTGAAAGACATGATTTAAATAAATAACAGAACTTTAATTTTTAGGGAACTATCCCTTTAATTTAATTTCAGTATAGTGCTGCTTGATGCTATATTTACATAAAAAGTGATTTGATTAAAAGTCATATCCTCAAGCAAAACTCTAAAATTAAATGTAAACATCAGTCATGCTCAAGGCAATGTTGAATCCTGATTGTTATGTGGTGAATTGTTTTTCTTATGGAAAACACTTTCACTCTGTTGGAACTCAATTAAGAACTTGTATGATGTGAATATATAAAAATTCTGGAACTTTTAAATCTCACAGCAGTATTTCTACCACTGACTCTTCAGGTGCATGCATGTTTCTTTATCTGTCTCTTAAAAGTTTGCTCATTCTCTGTTTTGAAACGATCTATGAGAAAGGCTTTTAATAAATAAAATATTTTTTTAAATAAATATTATTTGACAGACAGTTGAATTAGCTATGCTGTGAGACATTTCTTGTTTGTGAGAAATGTAAATATCTTCCTAATTATAAAAGCAATCATTTGCTCCAAGGAACACTGATTATCTCTTTCCAACTCCAAAAAAAAAATATATATATCCATTTGATCTTGCTGGCAAACCCATGTAAGTATGTGTAAATTCCTAATTTGTCGGATATATCAAAAGTGTTGAAAAAGTCTTCACAGCAGTGCGCAAAGCTGCTAGATGCGTCCAAATCTGCAATCCCTGCTAATTGGTAAACTGCAGGGGAGTGTTTCCATGTCATTCTCAATGGATCAGATTGATTGTGTTTCATCGGCAGATGTGATTGCGGTTACTCTCAGCCGTGGCAGAAACACGCTTCTAATTTACTCATAACCTTCGATGATGAGGGCCAGTTTTATGTCTTTGTTAGAATTATTGGTTCTCTTTTCCTCCGATCTCCTGTGGTTAAGAGAGAAATTTCATTTCAACCCAAAGCTCCAGAGAAACACCTATAAAAGTTTTATATACGGTAATTAATGCAAACAAATGTCAGATTAAACTTTCTCTGTAAAACTATGTTTCAAGAACTGAATACAGCAAGAGTCATTGATTGCATTGCATGCATGCATTAAGTCATTTCATTTTTCATTATTTTCCTATCTATTTATTTTTATTTATTTATTGTTTATATTTTATTTTTTGGCCCTTGAAGGAAACTATAAAAAATGTCCAAACGAAACCTAAAATAAGAATAAAATAAAAAATATTATAAATAATAAAGGATGCCTAAGGAATCACTCATCTAAATATGTATTAGACTTAAATGTGCAGCAAACTTTTTTCAGATAGTTAATTCAGCCTAAGGAGCTTATTTCCCCCCACAGTTCTGTTCCAGAATTGTGAAAAATAATGAACCCTGCTGATAACCATCTGGATTTGAGGCCAAATACACATGAATCCTGGTGAAACCTGAAATTGCCTGAAAGTGACCTGAAAGTGCAGCGTGCTGCTGTGCTTCAGTAGAAGAAAGTTTTTAGAGACATTTGCTTGATCTCATTTATTATTTTACTTACGTTGAAACTCTCATGTGCTGTTTACTATTAGCCACACCCAAACAACAAGACTTTTGCCTCAAAAAGGCTTCAGTCCAGCTGTAGAAGTGCTGAAAATTCAACCCATTTTCACTCACAAGACGTCAAAAACTGAAGCACAAGCAGTTTTAGCCTCACTATTCACATGAGTGATGCCTTGTTGTTCCTTTACCAGGAGGCAAATAGTCACTCTTCAAATCCTTCACTTTCTCTGTCTTCTCTGGTGGAATGAGCTGCCAACCTGCACCCAAAATGCTGAGGCCATCACATCTTTCAAAAAGTAGCTGGAGACACACCTCTCCTGGAAGCACTGAACCATTCTACACTCTTGAATCAATACACACACACACACACACACACATTCCCCCTCCATTTCTCCTCTTCTCTAAATTGCTTCTAATCTAGCTGTCTAATAAACCTGGCATTGTGTATTACGAATATTGACAATTGGCTTTGTTCCTCCTCTTTTGTAAGTTGCTTCGATGAAAGAAAGCCTCTCCTAAATGCATAAATGTAAATGTAATTAAGACACTAAAGGGCTCTATGTGTCACTATGTAGACAAACTAGGGAAACCTTGGGTGCCAATACACACGAAAAAGTATGGGGCATTTATTGTCATAAAATTATATAGTGGGGTATAATTTATTTTTTGACATATGTTCAATTTAAACAGCCACAATAATTTTATTTACATTACACTATTTAGACATTTTTGAGCACCTACCCCTAAACCTAATCTTGACTACAGTTACAATTAATTAAATAATTCCAAGGCCGAACGATTGCTTTGTGTGAGGAACAAACTCAAAAGCAATCACTGTCTCCATTCACAGCAACACTCAAATCCTGCATACATTCAGAAATTGCTGCCTAAAGGATTGTTACATCAGTTTTGACTGTAAAATGCCCTTGACTCTTGTGTGTGTTTTGTGACTGATTTCATCATGATAAAGTTCAGATTCATCTTTTGAATAAGATGTTGCTGCATGAATGGAGCGGGGTCATTTTCAGCAATTGAGAATTTCACTCTTTTTCCTTACATAAATATATCATATGTCTCCAGAAGACTTGGAATGCACCACGATTGATTTTTAATACATTTATACAGTTTTTTTTTTCTTAAGTTTTTGCAATAAATTACCTTGACTGTACTTATATAATTATATAAAAAATAATTTATACTTTTATAAATGCAAGCAAACAAATGTCTTGATCTGATGCATATGACAAGCAAATGAAAGCAATGACATTCCTAGTTTGTTGATATAGTGACGCCTTTAGCGTCTTAATAGTGATATTAAAGTTGTTTAACCATGCTTCAGTTTTTGACACCTTGGCAGTTAGAATGGGTTGGAAAATTGTGGTGGCTTACAATTAGCTAAAACTAAGATGGGGGAAGGGAGTTGTTATTATTTAGTGTCATCATTCTTGGCCTAAACCAATTAAAATTCTTTCCGCAGCCTATGGCACTATGATTTGTCTATATGGCGAAAAACTAATATACTGTAGATTCTGTGGTCATACATTGTCATGTTTGTGAATATGTTCTCATGACAGATGCTTAGATACTGTAAGATAACATCTGTTCCGTGATAGTTTTGCTGCTCTCTGCTTATTTGTTAGATGTTTTCAACAGTATATGATGTATTTGCATTTGATTTCTCATTCCAGAACAGATTAGAACAGTGTGTATGACCACTTTTGTGTCGTTTTGCACCTTACACATACAGTAGACCAGACTGACACGTAAAAGAGACAAGGTATTTAAATTCTGTTCACACAACACAATTCCTCATGTTATTCAAAGCAAAACTATAGTCCAAATTTCAGATTCCAGTCCATGTTCTTGCACTTTTAACCAAGCTTTATTTTTTCTATTTTGATATTCTCCCATAAAATATGGCTGGGAGCATTCTCAGCAACACTCTGCAACGTATTTTTTAAGAGTTATTTTAATCATAAATAGCCTGTGCTCTTCATTATCCTGCACTACTTCTGCAACCTATGTAGGATTTGTTTTCTTTCACACAGTCTTTTAGAAGGCGTTATTGTTTACTTGTCCCATGAAACTCTTCTTTTTGCTATCAGCTAAGACAATTATTCTTGGATTTAAAAAAAAAAAAACATAAAGAAGGCATAATTGGCTCAATTAAGCAATGCAGATGCAAGAAGAAAGTCTGCAAAGTTTAACAAGAAGGAAAACTAAGTTCCTAATCTTGCAGAGTAAAAAAGCCAGCACCTCTCTTCAGAACACTCAGCTCTTATTACGCTGATGGATTACAGAGAGAGCAACACTATAGGCCAATTCACACCGCACCGACAAACGCCAACAGACACGTTGGCCGCTGGATTTAGAATTTTATGAAAAATAACTGTCATGTTCACACTGCCCCAACAGACACCAACAGATTTCAAGTCAGGGAGAGTTAACTAGGGGGGAAATGGATGATCTTGTAACAACAATCAAAATTATACTGTTATTAATGTCTTTGCGTGTCATTCTTCGCCTGAAAAGACGGCGAATAAAACGAAAGAGGCTGTGGGTGAAGCCGTGGTTGCTGCGACGGGGAAGACGGGGCGCCTACTTGAATTTATGCAGAGAACTGCAGTCGGAAGATTTACAACGCTTCCAAAATTTTGCTCGGGTGGTCCCTAATCAGTTTCAGCAGTTACTTCAGATGGTGACACCAATCATTCAAAGGCAAAATACACATTTCAGAGATGCCATTTCACCTGGTGAACGCCTAATGATAACTCTTCGCTTCTTGGCAACAGGTAATAACCTAATGTTTCCTCTTCGATCCGTGTAAATAATTAGCAGTGTTGACAATTATACAATAAATAGGTTGAAATGTTCAATACTGTAATTCTAAAAGCTTTTTATTTATTGTTTTATTCACAGGGGAATCATTTCGTAGCCTGCATTACGCTTTTCGCATCGGATGCTCAACTTTAAGCGAACTTATACCCGAGACATGTAGAGCCATCTATCAGGTTCTCAAAGAAAGACATCTTAAGGTATGCATTCCGATCCTCACCACTTTGGTTTAATCAATATGTCATTATAATTACCTTATTGCAAAGAATAAGTGGGTATCCGCTCTGTTCTTCTCGTTTGAAGTATGCGCATCGTTATGGGAACTGTCCGGTCAGGTGGTGCTGAACAAAGCCAGTGCTGTTAGCGCTACATAGTTCAATAATAGGGTCAGCGCTACCCTTACGAAAATTAACCAGGGTATTACTGCAAATAAAAATACAAATGGCAATCGATACGCCAAAAATAAACAAACAAATAAAGAAATAATATGTTTTTACTATAATTAAACCATGGTTAATTTATTTTCATCAGGGTAAACTATGCACAGAGATTAATGCACAGTAGTATATAAATGCATGTT